GGTGTCTGCGAATGCATTCTCTGCTCTAGTGAGCCTTAGGAACCAGTACCTTTGGGTCCTCTGAGAACGTAAGTTGCAAAAAGGTGACCTACAAGCTAGGGTTGCCAGATTTTGAAAAACAAAACACAAAACAGGACACCCAGTTAAATTTGAATTTCAGATAAAAAATACTTTTTTAGTATAAGTATATCCCAACACATCTGGCAACCCTACCATAGGCTGAATTTGGTCTGTCGATGTTTTTTGAAAATGAAGGAAATTGCACGTAAGCTAGATTTCTAACCTCTCCTGAAAAATTAAGATCTTCGAAGCTGAGAAGTAGCTGCCTCCTTTAGATGAGAGACACATTCTCCAGTTTGTCACAGTCTCCGCTCCTTATTGTTTGTTTATGTCCAGCCAACTTTCACTTGTTAATGTTACCTGCTCGATTCCAGGGAGCCTTTTGAGTTTCTAACCTCTGTCTTAAAAGAAGAACAATAAAACTTTAGAGTAAATAGCTTATAAGTTTATAGTGTATAATAAAATGATTAACAATAAAAACTCACTATGTGCTGTTGGCAAAATTCCATGCTAAACCCTTGCTTGATCCCATTCAAGACCTGGGTCCTATGGTCATTTCTATTGTCCAGTGCGGAAACTGGGATGTAAAGTCTGATCCAGCACATGCTCAGGGTTATATAGTCGGGTAAGAGGCAAAGCTAGGCCTTGGGCCAGGCCTGGCTGGTATCAAAGCCTCTGTGCCTTTAAGAGCTACCCAGCGTTTCTCAGAGTTGCCTGAATCACTTGAAGTGCTTGTTTAAAACCCCAAACCACCGGAGAAGGGCCCATGAGTCTGCATTTTAACCAGAGCCTCTCTCCCCACCCCAGGCAGTTCTTATAATGAGGGAGTTTGGGAGTTTTTCTATATAATCAGCTTCCATTCTGGTTGGAGAAAGGTGAGCTCAGCCTCTTCTGACCGTGGCCAATGGGCACTGACACTCAAAGCTGATGCCAAACCCTTTCCTCCACTCGGTGCTTCCCACCCATCTGAAGTGATTCATTTCTAGAGCCACTCAGTCACCCAGCAGCTTAAAGACAAGCCCTCAGTAAACAAAACTTTCCGTGTCACCAGGCCGCCTGGGCCACTTGTGTTCAGTGTGTGCATCTGTTGCTTTTCTAAATCAAAAGCCCAGGGTTGGGTTAGAACTATCATAAGTCCCACTAGGTCTTTGGGGATTTTTTTTCCCCAACTGACAGCTACAAGCCACAGGATCAAACTGCTCTGTAGAGGGTCAGCGTAGTTGAGGAGAGAAAATTACTTGAGTCCATTTGAGGAGCTTCTCAGGCCTTTTCTTAGAGCTCATCAGATATGCAGCCCCATCCCCGGGCTCGTGCCTCTGTTCCTGTCTGCACGGCGTTCGACAAGTCCTTCTTTGTACTTTACTGAAATCTCTCTAGCTTTGGTTGAATCCCCGAGACTTGGGGGAGACTAGCCATCGACCTCGTAACAATGGGCGTAGGTCCAGGCCCAGGCGGCATGATTGTAGCGCATGAAGGGTGGGGGGTACTGCGTGAACACGGCCTCCTGGCAGCGATGGTGTGGGCAGGCGGGCACAGTTCACCCATCATGATCATTTTCTTGCCGGCGGTTTGTTTATGGAAGAGATACGCTTACTACTTGACCAATGGAATCCGAAAAGACATGATTGCCCCTGAGGACGACAAGGTGATGGTTCGGATTTCGAAGCTGATTCCTCACGCACTGCTGACAAACCCCTTCCTGGAGCCGCTGGTGAGCGTCCTCGTGGAAGAGAAGGAGAGTGACTATTACAGCAGCCTCAAGAAGAGCATCGGTAAGCCGGGCGGCAGCGGGCGGGCTTCCCGCGGGGCGCCTTCTTTCCCTCACTCGGTCCTCTGCCCCCGTCCCTCTGAAAATGCCAGAAGCACCGTTTAACGTTTCATTCCAATGCCCCCACCCCCACCACTCACATGCCCACCAGCCCTCTCCCAAGTTGACCTGCCTCCACTTGACCTGGGGGCCCGGCTCTGATGCAGCAGATCTGGGGCAGGCCCAAGACTTGCGTGTCTAACAAGCTCCCGGGCCAGGCAACAGGTGCTGCTTCCCGGGGCAGCACTATGAGTGGCACACGCAGTGCCTGCCTCTCCTCTCAACTGTGCTTACCTCTCACGACCCTCAGCGGTCACTCCATCTTCTGCACTCAGGACACTTCTTGTCTCTACTGTCAACTCGCCTGTGCCCCTGAGTCTCTACTGTTATTTAAGGCTGGCCTTGTCTTTGCACTTCCATTGGGTCTCAGCTGCCTTATGAGGCTGTTAGCTCTCAGGTGCTGAAGGACGTCTGACTGACCCTCACTCCCCTTCAGCCTTGGCCCCGGTCGCGCTCACAGTGGGGCAGGGGAACTGTTTGCTGGTGGTTAGTAATGTGAGAACCACGTCAAAGAGGAGGGACGATCGTGTTAGTTCCCTACCTCCCTGCTTTATCTGGACAACAGCTCCCTTCCCCGCCTTGTCTAGTTATTTTTAATGTCCTAATTAACTTTCTAATGGTGTCAGTGTAATGGATCCGTGTTTACTGCAGGGTAGAACCAAGCTCCTAAGGATAGACATGTAAAGTCCTTCAAATTTCAGCCCCAACCTACTTCTCCAGTTTTGTCACCTTGAACTCTGACCACTCGCACCTGCTATTTCTGCCACACAGTGAATATCAGCTCCTGGAGCGTATTATGCAGACGCCGTGGAACTGCACCTCCTTATGTGCTGTTTCTTCTGTCCCAGGATCGTCCTTTCTTGTCCTGTCTCAGAAACTCCTATTCATTCCTAATGACCCAGCTCACGTGTTACTCCCCCTGCGAAGCTTTTACCAGTCTTTCTTTCCTTAGCGTGTGACATTTTTGGTCTCTGAATTTCCATCCTAAGTATCCTGAGTCATCCACTGTGTTGATTTTCTGGCTAGCTATTTTGGTGTAAGGAGTCAATTAATGGTCAACAAGGCATCGGCACATGCTCATTCGTTGCCATGCGTGACGCTAGATATCCTAACAGGGTTCAATCCCAGGTTCTTAGTGCTCCAGGCTGTGAAGCTACCCATCTCCTTCCCTGATACATCTTTAGAAAGAAAACACAGAACAACAGAGTAGAGCTTCCCCGACTTAGTTACCTTCAGGGGATCATCAATGACCTTGTCAGGGAGGGAGCATCTTCTAAGTGTTGGAGCTAAGCGCACAGAATGCCCAGGGTCCCTGCTTAATAACAGTGTCTGCCCTGTTGGTTATAGTTGACTACATCCTCATGGACCCAGAGGAGAGAAAGAGGCTCTTCATCGAGAGCATCCCCCGCCTGTTCCCTCAGAGAGCCATCCGGGCCCCGGTGCCTTGGCACGGGGTCTACAGGAACGCCAAGAGGTGGAATGAAGAACACCTGCACACGGTGAACCCCATGGTGCTCTGCCTGGAGGAGCTGTGGTTTGAAGAGTAAGAAAGGCCTCCCTCTCCCCATCCCTCTCTCTGTGGCTTCCACACATAGGAGAACTCGTATGCTGGGCGCTATGGAGTAGCTGTGCCCTTGAAGTGAAATGACAGAATCCTAGGCCAATAAGGCATAGGAACTGTGACCCTCCAGGCAGGGGCAGTGGCCCTCGTCTGTGCCCCCACGGCACCATGTCAGTGCTGAAGCCTACTGGTTCAGAGCACAGATGTGGAGCCAGGCCACCCAGGTCCAGACCTTGACTTTGCTGCTTCCTAGGTAACACATATGGGTGTGTTCATCGCTTCTCTGCCTCGTCTCTGGATCTGGGGTAATGAGTGCTCCCACTCTTCGGGTTGTAGGAGGAATAAATAAGTCAATGCATGCAAGGTGCTTGGAACAGTGCCTGACTTAAGTACCCAATAAGTGTTAATGGGCGATTAGCTCCATTGTGACCCGTGTCTCCCTGAATTCTAATTGTGTGTTTACTTGTTTGTCTCTAGCCTAGGAGAGGTCTGGGTGCTCGGGCCTCACTCGTTTATAAAACCAGCTCCACGCAGGCTGGGGCAGTGGCCTCGGTTAACGTCATCCATGACAGAATTGGCCACAGGAGTTGTAGAAGTCCAGAGCGGGCAGGAGTCTCTTAACTTTTTCTAAGTTGAAATATTTCACACGCTATAAAACCCACCCCTTTAAAGCGTACAATCCAGTAGTATTTAGTGTATTCACAAATTTTTTCAACCCTCACCACTCTCTAACTCCCAAAAGGAAACCAGGTGCCCCTTAGCAGTCACTCCCCTCCTCCCTCTCACGCAGCCTGTGGCAACCACTGGTCTGTTTCCGTCCCTGTGGCATTGCCCATTCTGGACATTTCCTATAAACAGGATCATGTGGTCCTCTGTGTCCGGCTGCTTTCACTCAGCAAGATGTTTGCAGAGTTCATCCACATTGAAGCGTGTATTAGGACTTCGTTCCTTTTCATGGCTGAATAATATTTCACTGTATGGCTGCACCATATGTTTTGTTTGTCCAGTCAAGACACTGCAAAAAGAAGTAAATGCCTAACTAGGCAGAAGTCTATAGAGTAATAACATTCTTGCTCTGTCACTACTGAACTTTGTGATTCGGGGGAAGTTCGTCTCTCTGGGCCCCTGTTTCTTCACATGCAAAGTGGGAATGATAGCAACACTCACCTCACTGGTCGTTGGGTGAAGTGCCTAGAGCAGTGCTTGGCGTACAGTAGTTATTCAATGAAGGGAGGCACTGCTTTACTGACAAGCACATTTATGGCCTCAAAAAATAAATCAGCCTAGAAACTAACAAGGAACTCAGTCCCAGGCCTGGTAAAATTGCCAGAGGCTCAGTGCCGAGAGGACGTGCACATGAGTTCAATTTGATTACGTATTGGGACAACAAATTATTGAACCTATAGCCTGTACTGAGAAGAAAGGATTCTCACCACGAGCTTTTCATGGCTCCGTAAAGAAAATTATGGAGGCAACAAAGACACAAAAAGGAGCCAGAATCATTCAGAAGGTTTTTGTGAGCTGATCAAAAAATTTGCAATGAGATAGATTTGTTAAGGAAATGATACAGATTCATTTTCTTACTTGACCTGCACCATTGAACTTTAAAATTTTGAAGAGGTCACCTAGGTATCTGTGAAGGGTGAGATCTTTGGGAACAGAATGAGGGTTGAGGTCTGAAGAAAGAATAGATGTTCTGGCCACAGTGGGAAGTTTGTTAGGACTCAAAGATGTGTAATGTAATTATCAGGTGGTGGCAAGGGCCACACTGCGGTTGGATACCAGCATGTGGCGCGTGAGGGCCTTGGGCCTGTCTGCCCCTGGCAGCGCTCTGTGACTGACCAGACGAGGGGAAGCCTGGGTTCGCCACCCTCACTGAAAAGGGGCAGAGGCTGCCGGAGTGCAGGAGGAAGAGCTCCTAAAAGCCAGGACAGTGGGTGGTGCAAATGAGAAACTAGAGCTGAGGCAATCTAAGGAGTAGAGCAGAGACGTCCTTGGGGAAGTGATAGGCACTGGTGACTTAAAAGAGTGATTTATAAATGAATGGAATAGATGTCAGGAAGAGAAACGGTGGCCCTAAGAGCCAAAAAAGGCCTTGGGGAGTGTGTTGGAGGAAACCTATCCACTGGTCTGAAAGGAACAGGAAAAGATAAGAGCATCACAGAGAAGGGCACTCGTTCAACAAACGGATTGTGAGCGCCTGCATCGCATGAGGCCGCGCGGCCCAAGGCTGTGTGTCTTGGTGAACCTGTCAAGGGTACAACTATCGGGTGTTTTCTTGAGGAGCCCAACAACCCACTTGATCTCAGAGGTGCTTTGCACGCCCTGTCCTCTGTGTCTTCACTGTTGTTGTAAAAAACTTTGATGGGTCCATTTGGAATCCCAGTTCCCTGCCAGCCAAATAGGAAGTTGGTGCCAAGCCCCCGTCCCCAGGTGGTTACCCAGCACGACGCACAGGAAGGCTCCATAAACGCCCGTTGAGTCGGCTCATTTGTCTGCTCTTTGCAAGTGTTTCTGTGGACTCTCCACCGCCAACCCAGACTCCCAGGATTTTCAGATCTACTTAGTTTTGACTGTTTAAATCTCCTCTCGTTGAAGAAGAGAGTATATGCCCCTTGAGCCCGTCCTACGCAGCTGGCCTTTAAGCGCCCCCTCCGCTGAGGCAGCCTCTCCCTTCTGGCAGGTTCCGAGACCTCCGGTTCCTGCGGACAGCAGAGCTCCTGGCGGGGAAGCAGCCCCTGCAGCCGCAGGAGTACCGGGACCTGATCCGCCAGCACTGCCTGGAAGCGCGCCGGGTCCTCCTCAGCAAGTCAGTGGGGCCCGGGGGGGGGGGGCCCCCC